CCCGCATTAGCAAACTACCTCCTACACCGCCTCCATCAAAAATACCAAAATCACGAGGAGATGTCAGTTTTTATGTACAATTACATTGAACAGATCGTCAATGTCAGGGGTGACAATATTTGTGGTTTTCAGATGTTTCCAGTTTACTCGATAAAGGAGAAGAGGATCACCAACTTGTCTATAATACTCTTACAGATAGTTGAGGAGCAATAGAGAATTATACACATAGGTGCTCGGGAATAAAGAGAAAGTTGAATAAATTTATCATACTCTTGTACCTTGCGTCAGTGGACATGCACCAGAGGAAAAATGGATGTGCTTCCATGAGATAGGTCATCTCATAGAAAGTGTGTATGAGTGATTGTGTATTAATCTTACAAGATACGGTTTTTCAGAATTTTTTTCCCACTTCGCACTGCTCCACCATCAAATCCCAATAATTGTATCATCTGTGTTGAGTGAGTTTCAAACTCACAATATTTTCTTCAAGTGTATTTGAAACTGGGATTCCCTATACCACTTACATCACCGGAGTTGACGAATCATTATACAATCCAAACTGAGACTTGGTTGAACCAACTTATTAAAAGGATGCAAGAGTACACCAAATTGAACAATATTGAAATAGAAAGAAAAAAGGAAAAGTCAAAGGGGATACCACGTGTAAATTTGGCCAACGGCAATTATTTTGGATCATCTAAGTAGTTATTTATTATTTTATTGTATATAAAATTTTGTTAATGTATTATGATGTGGAATATGAATATTTTAGAGTTTGTCCCAAAATACCAACATTCAATACAATTAGTTGCTTTTGTTTCTATTATGTTTCTATTTTTTAAAATACCAGAGAAGTTTCCAGAGATGCGTCTCCGGAATAAATAAGGGTGGTTCCAGAGTTACATCTCCGGTACATTCTCTATCATTAGATATGGTTTGTGCGGTCCATAATATCATCTCATTATTATAAATAAGCTCACTTGTCATATTGTTTCATACCAAAACACAAAAAGTCATAATGAACATCAAATATCATGTTGGAAATATTCACTTTACCGACAATTCACCATCCCGAGAATTTAAGATTAACGAGTATACCCCTCTTAAAGATATGTAATGCATATCGCAGAACCTTCTACAATATGGTGACAATCACAAAATTGTGAAGATCGAGTATCGTTCGCCATCCATTGACAATAAAGAGAAGCTTGAGTTCATCAATCATAAGTTGAAGATGGGCGCTGATTTAAAGGTTATGTGGAATATTTGTATCCGTTTAAAATCAAAAATTCTGATCGAACTAAATGCGACTAGTTCGAAATCGATTGACGATATTATCAAAATGTTATAACATTCACCTAAATATTTATCATAAAAGAAAAATAGGTGCTCTGGCTATTGCCAAAATACCCTGCTTGCTCACAACTTTGCCACATAGATAGCTTAATCTTCTCTCAATCCATTTGCTTCAAATATTGCTTATTGTTCTATTTGTTATGCTTCTACACCATCTTCACAATTTTGTTTTCCAAATCACTTCATTTCTTGCATTTAATGCTCTTTAGTAACTTTTCATATTTCCAACCAAATTCATTGACAATTCAACATCACAGCCGGCTAACTGTGTTGCTTTTATCTTTACCACACCCATGTTTTATTCTTCTAATTATTTCATATACTTCTTCTTCTCCTTCTAATATCTCTTTCCCCATCTCTATTACTTTATCAATATATTTTTAGATAGTACTTTTCAATACTTCTCAATAATGTCATAATTGAATCCTTTATTTTATAAGATTTACTTCTTATTATTTAGCAACTTACATTTTAACTTCAAATGATTTTCAGGATGTGTTTCATTGTTGACAAGGATTCTATTTCCATCTTCTAAAGGTAAGTTTCTTATTCTTATATTTTGTTTGTTTTGTGTTTTACCTAGATTTAAGAATTAGAATCTTAGATTTCGTTTTGTATTGTGCAGATCTAGAGAAAAATATATTTGAAAAAAATAGATATGAAGAAAAGTAGGTTTTGTCGGATGTCGATTTTGTTGGATTTTGATTTTAACGAATGGTTTGATTCGGTTTCATCTCTTTACATATGGGTGGTAGATTTTGATCTACACATTATTTTCTTCTGCATTGTATTTTCTTGTTCTTTATATATATATATATATATATATATATATATATATATATATATATATATATATATATATATATATATATATATATATATATATATATATATATATATATATATATATATATATATATATATATATATATATATATATATATATAAGAACAAGAAAATTGTAGTGAGTCAAACTAAAGTAATAAAATTTATTTTTGTTCTTAAAAGTTATATGAAACAAGAAAACTATAATTAGTCATCCAAATGTTTTTATATATGTAAATATATATATTCTTGATCCAAATGATTTTATAAATAGTATTATTATTATAAACTAGAACAATTTTATTATTAATTCAAATATTTTTATAAATATTATTAAAACAAAATTATTAATTATATACCAACAAAAATTTGTTGATTAAAATACATAAATAACTTTATTATATATTCAAATATTTTTATAAATAATGTCAAAATAAAAATAATAATGAAAACATCAAGTTATTGATCAAATTATTGAGTGTTAACGGGAACATGAAGATTCTGATCAAAATATTGAATATTAATAACATAAAGTTATTGATCAAAATATTGAATATTAAGGGGAACGTGAAGTTACTGATCAAAGTATTGAATGTTAACGGGAACATGAAGATACTGATCAAAATATTGAATATTAACGGGAACATGAAGTAACTGATCAAATATTGAATATTAACCAGAACATAAAGTTAAAAATCAAAATATTGAATATTAATCTGAACATGAAGTTACTGATCAAAATATTGAATATTAACGAGAACATGAAATTACTGATAAAATATTGAATATTAACATAAACATGAAGTTACTGATCAAAGTATTGAATATTAACGGGAACATGAAGATACTGATCAAAATATTGAATATTAACGGGAACATGAAGTAACTGATCAAATATTGAATATTAACCAGAACATAAAGTTAAAGATCAAAATATTGAATATTAATCTGAACATGAAGTTACTGATCAAAATATTGAATATTAATTGAAACATGAAGTTATTGATGAAAACATTGAATATTAACGAGAACATGAAATTGTTTAACTTTTTTTCCAATAACCATACAAAATGGCGACATTACAATGTACCACACAGTACTTGTGCGAAGGCACATGTATTCCACTAGTTGAAGTGTAATGTTTGATCTATGTTAAAATCTATTATGTATTACTTATTTATGATATCAATGGTATTTTGTTTTGTGAAGTTGGTGTATATCAATTCTGTTTTTATGTATTCTGTAAAGCCTTATTCCAGAAATATACTATCGTTTGATATCGGTAATGTAACTCCGGAAAAGTTTGTGTTTTATTACATCTTGGTGCGTCCCAAAGATATATCTCTGAAATTTAAGGACATTTAAAAAAATTTGCACGGTGCGTTAGCAAAAACTTATGATAGTGTTAAAAAATTCACTTATTATTAGACACTAACGAAAATATCACAATTTTCATAAACTAAGTAACTGGATAGTTAAATTAAAACATTTTTTAAGGAGATGCATCCAACTCAATATATTTTTTAATCGAACTATAAGCCAATGGAAACAAATTTACGGAAATATATCTTTGTGTATATTACATAGATTCATCTTCGAACGTTGTTTGTTCAAAATCCCGTTAGAACTCTTTCTCCTTCCTCACATCAAGTACATCAATTTGTAAGCTTTTTATTTATTTTATTTTTTTAGAGTTTTTGTATAAACTTGTAGAAATTGATGATTAGATTATAAATAGATATTTTATACATGTTTGATAGTTTATATATAATGAGAAACATGATTGATATGTAGTTTTGTTGATAAATGCACTATTTTTGTTGTTTTGGGAGGCTACATTCCCCATTGACGTATAAGAGTTGCAGAAAATTCTGGGGATGCATCTCCGAAATTTTTCAACGTTTTGATTCCCAAAAACCGTAGATGCACCTCTGGAGTTTTTTAGTGAATTTTTTTGTCATTTTTTCTTGTACTTATTGTATAACGCATGTGTGACTTACTTACAAATATTATGATAGATAGGCAAGATTGATTGAGGTACGATAAAATTGGACAATATGCATTTGTTCAGAGAAAAAATAGTTAGCCATCGCAGGATCCTGTTACCTCTAGCCTGATTGATGCAGAGGTGTCAGCTTCTAAAGCTCATGTATCTCCACCTTCTCATGCATCCATGCATCCATCTTCCTATAGGCAACAAATTTCACCTATTCAGGCATCCGAGGCAGCAGAGGTACCTGTGTCACCGAAGGTACCTCAAGCACTAGAGTTACCTAAGACACCTCAGGCCCAAGAGGCAACAGAGGTACCTGAGACACCATAGGCCCAAGAGGAAATAGAGGTATTCGAGGCACCCCAAGCACCTGAGGGATTTGGAGAAAGCCAGTCATACTTGCCACTGCTGCCTCTTTGTCTAAACCATATTGTCAGACATGCCTGGGATGAGGAGGTAAAATTAAGTTCGATTCATTCTTTTTAAATTATATTTGTTATAATAATAAAAGTTTCTAACGAAGATTTATTTTTGTGCATGACCGTGATGCTCTAAAATTCATCAACCGTGGACGGAAGATTAATGACCTGCAACAGCCTAATCAGTAGTGTTTTCAGGATGCTTTGCAGCTATCTAAGATGAGAGACTTGTGTAAAGACCGATAATGTTACAGTTAACCATGGTATGTTATTTGTGTTAGTAGAGAGATGGCACACATGGTGAAATGTATATCACACTGAACAATGTCTCATATTATTTTCATCTTCTGATTAGGGGGAAATTGTTTGATCATGGAAAGATTAACAGAGATGATGCACTGAAGTAGATGGTAAAATATCTCGAAGTTGACCCAGAGGCTTCCATGAAGGATTTTGAAGTCACCCAAAGGACTCATGCTAGGTTTCGATTCATGGATAAGGTGTATACAAATGAGCTACTTCGAACAGAGCATGCTACTGGTGATGATGAGCAGGTTGTGCGACATAAAACATATAATATGAGAACATACATGTTGTATTTGGTTGGTATGTCATTTTTGTGGACAAGAGTGTCACTTATGTGGATGTCATCTATTTGCAATACTTCGATGACTTCAGCGGATCCATGAATACAATTGGGAGGCTGTTTGTTTGGTTTATTTGTATTCTAAGTTATCTAAAGGTTGTATGTGAAAGACGAAACAAGTGACAAACATCATCATACTATTGACATTCTCATTACATTTTTTCAACGCCATTACTAATTATTCATGTGTTCCAACACTTTTCAGGCTTGGATCCTCCTGTAATTCTCATGCACATTCGGTTGGTCATGTATATTAATCTACACTGAGGATATTCCATTTGCTTTTGCATTTTCCCCGCTCTGAGGGAGCTAGGCAACTGAGTCATTCTGATTGTACATTAACCGCTTGGTAGCAAAAGACATACACTTACATACGTAGGCCGATCATCGTGAGACACGTCCTTTTAATGACATAATCTTATACTCTGGATGGTTAGCTTGCAGGTCACGTCTGAAATTTCCTCGTCTGTCTGAGCACGTCATACAATAGTTTGACTGCATGTAGTATATTCCCTGAGACCCTTCTGTGTCTGCTCCTTCCGCCATGACACGTAGAGATATGATGATTATCTTAATCATCTTATACTTGGGGAGGGACGAAGTATCATAGCTTCTATCGTCTGGAGCTACGTAGACAGTTAGTTACATCCGGTGATTTTTCAGAATGTCACATCCTTATATGATACAGGATATTCGAAGAGATCCACCGAGACCATCTCATTAGGAGATACTAGAGGAGCAACAGACTAGGACAGATCATGTTGTTGATGTGTTGCCTAGATGTCGCCTTATCATGGAGATTGGGCAGGGATATTGATAGAGCACTACTTCTAGATAAGTCTAAGGTCAAGGACGTTGTAGATGTTATAATGGTAGAGGCACGAAAAACACTAAATTACACGAGGCAAATATAGAAACATGGAGTCTCGAGCATACTCAATAGTTTATAGTATTTATATTCTAGATTAATTTTCGATTGTATTTTATTGACTTAATTCAACTTCATTGTGTAATTTGAATTTATTACTTTATATATATCATTCCATGCATATCGACTGTATAGTCTAATTTATCATAATATACATTTACTATATCATCAATTTCATCGAAACATCACTAAAACAAACTTAAAATTTACTGTTTGATTAGGTTACAGATATGCATCTCCGAAATTTGTCTCATGTGAATATGGAAATACGTCTCCAAAACATAAAAGTAGCATTTAAGAGAGAGATGCATGGGATATAAATTAAATTATTTCAAAAATATATTTCCGAATTAAATTTTAAAAAATATACTAGGTGTGACTCAATTTTAACGTTTTGACTGAAGAAAATGGTGCGTCCAGGATATATCTTCCTTATTTAAGAGACAATTTTGGATTTTCATAGGATATTTTTCCACCAAGATTAGTATTTCTCAATAATTTTTGCATACTATGAAGATTTAAGCTTTGGGCTATTTTTGCTTACAAACATTATTTCTTCTAGGATTAACAGTTATATCATTTTGTCGTAAAAAGACATTTTATTTCAAAGGCAACTTTTATAGAAACACAATTACAAGCTTTTTTTTTTTTACAAGAAGCCAATAGAAATAATGAAGACAAATAAAATAAATTTGAATAGTTTTTTCAAACGCTACCAGCCAAGTTAATGTTCTTAAAAAATTGGTTACATCCAAAAATTACAAAATTCAGTATGGTGGAAAGTGGAAACAAACTGAGATAATCAAAATATAAGAACACAGTTTTCGTGAGTCTTCATTTCTGCCAATGTGCCAAACGTTTGCCAATTTTTCGTTTATTAGAAACGAAAGAGAAAGAGAAAGAGCAAGGCTATTGATAGTGACCAGGATACTGCATCATTCCAGGGCCAGCTTGTGGTGGCATCGTACCAGGTGGCATGTAAGGATTATGATGCATCCGCTGCATAGTGTGTGGTGGTGGTGGAGTTGCTCCCCATCCAGCCTGAGATTGAGGCATAAAATTCTGGTTGTTGGTAGGAGCGTAGTGAGAGGTATTGTACTGTTGAGCAGGAGGACCAGTCATGGGACCTTGTTGCCCTGAAATTGAGGGCTGCGCGTTCATAACTGGTGGGGGTGCAGTAGGCATGGTATAGTCTCTGCTTCTGTCATTATTGACCTGTAATAACACAAATCCTGAGACAACTAAAACTCCATAATACTACACATTACAAAAGTACAAACATTTTGTGATTTAATGGATCATACTCTTTGAAAGAAGATGATATCACAATATTCAATGGAAATTGAAGAAGCACCTCCCTCCCAAAAAAAAAACATAAAAGGGAAACACCATACTAGAAATTTGTTATTATTAGTTTTTTCTTTTTTTGATAAATGTTATTATTATTTTTATGCAAATAAATTTATTATTATTTGAGACAGGAAGGATCTAGTGAAAGCATTTTCAGTAAATACTGATACACCTACACCAAGACAAAAACCATATTAGCATAGGACCAAAACTAGAGTCTTGAGTTTCATGTTCAGCAAATAGTATCACTATCACACAAATAAACAGGATGTCTGCTTATATGGAATGACTCATAGAACTATCGTGATTGCGCAAGACTGTATCTTCTATTGCACTATACTCTTCCTTTTAGCCATTATGCTAGTCTCATGCTAAAATGACGTAAATACATATTTCATGGATGGCATGGTATACCTTTATACTCAAATCAGTATGACGTGAATAGGAGAGGTGAAGCTTACAAAATCCCCCATCATAAATGCAGTGTCCTTCCAAGGCTTCTTTGGCCACAATGGCCGTTTGAACATCTGTAGTCCATAGAATTTAAGATGTCAATTGTCAATAATATCAGTAACTGCAATTATAAAATGATAAATCAAGTAAAAAGTTTCTAATCACCAACCAGGCCAAAATCAACACTGTTCAGACTCAAATGCGCACATAATCTTTTGTTTCAAAGAGGGAGTCAATGAGATAAGAGGGGAGCATACTGCCCCCCTAAGGTGCAATAAATCCCTTCAAATTTTCTAAATTATTAAAAAATTACTAAATAACTTTTTGCTAGGGTCCCAAAACATGAAATTTATAGATCCACCACGGTTTTCGTATCAAAACTTAGAGAACAAGTACACGCTTCTTAGAAGATCCAGCAAGTGACAAACCCGAAATCATCAAGAGTCTCTAGAAGTCTAGAACCAGTGCATCTTTGTGAAATTATTAACACAGGGAAATTTATGAGAAGATGACGGTGAAGCTAAAAGCAACTAATGAATTTCAATCTAAAATAAATCATCGTAGTGGAGTACCATTTTTTTCAAGCATCGTTAGTTTTTAGGTCAAACTGAGTATAACGAATTTAAAACCTAAGCAACATAGGGATCCTAACAGTGAGAAGCACACAGGTATATGCTCAAATAATCAACAAGAGAAACATAATATATCACAAGATTCAGAACAAAGATGAATAATATTTTGAAAGAACCTAACCTGGGTACTGAACCAGAGCTTGCAAACCACCATTCTTATCAAACATTGCAATCTTTTGGATGGGTCCAAAAGTAGAGAAAACCTGTTACAAATAGCATAGAAAAAGCAGAATAATATCAGCTAAACTGTGATGTCAGTCCATCATTGCAAAAATAGACAACTGGCAACTGCAGCTCAAAGTACCGTGTGCAAGACATCCAAGGTTACAGCATACTGCATGTTCTCAATTGATGCAAGAAGAACATTACTCTCAGCCTCAAGTCTCTTCCCATCCAAACCCATCACGGACTGCAAAAATCATAAATCTATAAATCAAATAAATTAAGATAACCATGCTCCTTTGCAAGGATGGCAGCATACATGGCCGCCTCAACGTATGGGTATATACAGATTACCAATGTGAATGAAGGGCATATCAAGTTAAAATAAGCATTTCATTTTGCACGTTCAAGAAGGCTACCTGTCCGTTTCCCTCCATAGCTGATTGAGCAACAGGAAGGTAAGGATTGGTGTAGTCTCTGAAACAAGAAAAAAGGAGTTACATAGCTAAATAAATACTTATAAAATATATGGTTACTGCCATGCAAATAAAAGGTATAAAGCACTATATGAAGGGTGAGATGTAGAAGCAATGACCATTGGCCATGATAATGAATCGGTTGAAAATCACCAAGGAAAAGATAAATTGACGAACATAGGTTTCCTGTATGCCTCTGAAGCCAAAGAAATCAGAAATACCTGCTTCTGTGACTCTGAAACTTAACACTTAAGTCTGAATGTCCAGAATATGTGATCTTAAGGGTACAAGGTCCCACATGCCCGGCGAGTAGGTAGCTGATGCAGAGGGAGAAAACAATTAAAGGTTAATCATCATAAACAAACAATTGAGCAATAAGAATGCTTAATGTATAAAGGTTATCAACAGCAGTGTCAATGAAGAAGCAAATAACTACTATATTATAGGCAAGTTTAACAAATTTTCTACCCGTTATTGGTTGGGTTGGAATGGTGTAGCTAAGCATATTTCACAGACTCAATGATTCAGACAATAGCAAGAAGCACAACAATAGTGTATAAACTCTACAAGTCAATAAACATAAGTACTATTTACAATTGTCTAACTGTAAACAAAGACATGCACCACATTAACAGCTGTACATTCAACACAGTTTGAACTAAATACCATGCCAAACAAGTAATACAACTGTCACCTAGGTATGCTTCTTCCATCCAAAGCATCCTTTGCAGAAGTGGCAGTTTCAGCATCTGAGAATTGCACCAGTGCCTAAAAAATTGTGTATAGAATAAGCTTTTGTCCATAGCATAGAAAATAAATCCAAATTAGATTAAGGGTGGCTAATTATCAAACCTGGAATCCGGCAGTTTTCTCAAAAGTGGTAATCTTATGCACAAATCCGAAGGCCGAAAAAACCTGCATTCGTGAAAGATAAACTTTCAGTTTTAAAAATTAACAAACCTAGATTTCAAATCTAGTAATCTAAAATTAACAAAAACCTGCATAAGATTAAAACAGTAACAAATCTAGAAATTCAAAATAAGTAAAACAGTTCCCAACTTACAACAACTATCAATCATCATCATTTTGGGCATACAAGAATTTATAAGCTAGAGGCCACGAGAATGCAGAACTTATTAGTGCTGTAGGTAGGCCAAAATTATGGAAAGTCAACTCTAGGGATAACAAAATGGATATTAAAGTAACGAGTAAGTGAAGGATGAGCTTGAGGGAATGAAACAATAAAAGGAGGGGATGCAGAGAGGAGTTAGCTAATTTCAGCAAGAAAGTTGAGCCACCCGTGTTTGACGGTGCATAATTATATAGATGGGTCGCCTAAACTTTAGTTTATCTTGAAGTACAAAGCACCCAAAATACAAGGAAGTGAGGCTTAAATTAACCAAGCATAGCATGGAAGGACCCGAGGCACTTTTTTTTAACTAAAGCCTCCTTTTTGTAATAGATAATCTTAATCAAACACGTTAATCTTCTACGAGAGACCAAGGACCATTTGGCATTTGACATGGGAGAAGTTAAAGTTAGAGTTGATTGATCATTATGGTCGTCAGAAGTTTCAGCTCGTTTGAGGAGCTTGTATCTATTTGACAAACCAACATGGTGATGTACTACTACATTGAAAGACTTTGGCCGATTTTCGTCTCAAGTTCCAAGGTTACATGAAGTGCAGTGCACTAGGTGCATCGTGAGTGGCTTACAATCATTCATCTGCCGGCGAGTGCGGATGCTACACCTGAGCTAGGTTTCAGTTCATACAGCTCGTCAGAGATATCAAAGAGATGAATGAAAGGAAGTAGGAGCTTGGCCAATAGTTGTTTTTTTGAATTCAAAGGAGGGGCACAAACTGTTTGAACTTTGAAGTGGGCCATAAAAGCTTGAGCTAAAAAGAGTTACGCCTTTGGGGAAACAGAGAAAATTCGGGCTCAGATTCAGGTTCAGATTGGGGGCATACCCAAATACACTCAGGTTTTTCATTTATGGATCAGCCACTGCTTAGTCCTAAACCCAACGTTCGTGTCTCTCATTTCTGTTATGGAGAAAAGGGGGACCCATAAAAGTTTGAGATAAAGAGTTACACCCATGGGAAAACAGATAAAGTTCTGGTTGGGGACATAGCCAAATACACTTCGGTTTGACACTTATGGATCAGCCACTGCTTAGCCCTACCGTAAACCCAATGTTCGTGTCTCTCATTTCGGTTATGGAGAAAAGGTGGATCCATAAAAGCTTGAGATAAAAAGAGTTACACCCATGGGAAAACAGATAAAGTTCTGGTTGGGGACATAGCCAAATACACTCAGGTTTGACACTTATGGGTCAGACACTGCTTAGCGCGTAAACCCAATGTTGGTGTCTCTCATTTCTGTTGTGGAGAGAAGGTGCATCCCTTTTACCGATGCCCAAAGAAATAACTTTGCTTGCTTGTGTTAAGGAGATTGAAGCGATGAATCGTAATGAGGAAATCACAACATTGGAAATCAAAAACTATGAGCATAGGAAGTGCTTATTCATAGTGGGGCCACCCACAATTTTGTTAGGCTACCGTACTAATCACATTTTAATGCAATAAGACCAAAGTTGAGACAGTGGATCAAGAGTTAGTGGATCAGGATGAAGCTATTAATCTGCTGACAAAAGCAAATGAAACAGTAAGTTGAATGAGTGCTAGTTATAGATAGCAGTCTGTGCCTAGGTAAATTAATCAAAAGCTGCCTGCTCGTTATAGTGTTTATTTCAGAATCTATAGCAATATAAACCAGAGGCCTATAAATTAATATTTACCCCAGATTCAAGGGCTCATTCAATTTTCCATGCCTCCCAGCCCAGCTGAAGAACTTAACTGGTGAAGCGCGGTTCTTTCCTCAAGGCTGCTTTACCTAAGGAATTGGAGGTAGAGTTGGCAAATTCAGCTGTGTCTTGGCTAGTAGGGAGGTACTCAAATCCAAGGGCAGTTTTCCTATTAGGCAATGGCTGCTTATGCGGAAAGGAGATTGTTGGAATTCCGGCCTTCATTGTGGTCCGCCCCTAGTCGCCTAAATTGCGGCATTTGGCTTGCCTTAATTACCAGCCTCTAACACCTTCATTGTGTTGGATTTGAAGGGATGGATTTAGTCCCACATTGCTTAGAGATATGACCCGTGTTGTATTTATAAGTGGGGGCAATCCCCACCTTAAAAGCAGGTTTTGTAGGGATGAGTTAGGCTCAATCCAAATTCTAGGAGAGATGTTAATCAAGGTACTGCTTGGGAGGGTGAATCTTCTCTACAAGGAAAGAATCAAGAATTCAACCTTGGGACAAGGCATAGCTTTCACAGTAGGACAATGGTAGAAGCACACTGAGATTGGATTTACATCAGAATCAATTAGTGCTGCTGTAAGATATGGGCCAATGTTTGGTAGAGCAAAAATAATCGAGGGAATGAAAGGGGGCAATAGGATTATGAGCAAGTGAAGGATGAGCCGGCAGTAAGTTGGTCAGAGAGGCTGAAATAATAAAAAGGAGGGTAAGCAGAAGAACTTGTTACGTAGTTTAGGACACATAATTTTCTGAGGAGTCATATGTCCTGGTTAATAGAGATCTCATGTTTTCAGTGTTAGCTGTTAACTTAATACAGTTTTACTTTTTCATTTCGTTCCATAGTATTTGTTCACTTGACTTTTTACACAATTCACTTGTTTGTAATCACAATTTTTAGTATTACTGTTAAGCTGTTTAGGGAATCCTATCTAATGGCATGTTTGAGTAAATCAATATATCTGTCAAAGTGTTAATATATTACTACTGTTGTCACAAATTTTGTTAAATGATGAATTAGATTATTGTAAACAAAGATTGTGGATATATCATATATGGAACATGAAGAAACTGTCACAAAAATTGTTTTAATAGTGCTAGCATTACCACCGGGGTTTAGTGGTTGGTGTGTAGGATGTCTGAGTGTTACAAACTCTGGGGTACCGAGTTTAATTCCTAATAATAAAAATATAGTGCTAGCATTAACTATAGAAAATTGGGGGCAGGCCCCAGGGGAATATGGGTGATTTAATTTTGATAATGGTACTCATATAACAATAACAACGTCAAACATATAACTAAAATAACTAGTATACTAAAGCTTCAAAGGTTGTGAGTGGCATCATTCACTGTCACTTAAATTCAAACAAATGCTTTATGAAGAAAATTGCTTCGCAATTCACTTTGCACAAATGAAAAAAGAATGGTAAAACCTAAACTACAACAATGTAGGAACTAAGGGAGAGAGAATAGGGAAGAGGCAGTGCTAAGGAAAGGAGAAAGGAAACAAACACCCACAAGCTCTTTCTCCAAAAGCACTAGGCTGCCATCGAAGATATTGCCTTGATACGGGCCTGCTGATTATTTACATACAAGTCAAAACAATTTCCATAGCCTGACAAAGCAAAACCTAAACACAAAACTAAAAGACCAACATAACATCCACGTGATAACATTTCTAACAGATATAGCATAGGCACATACGCAATTGCTTACCAAGTGCAAAACATCTATGCTCACAAGACGTGCATCTTCACCCTCAATTGTTACCAACAGTACATTCCCAGCAACATCCGCAGCAGTTTTGTTATTCACTATTTCTTGTCTATTGGAGTATTGCAAATACACAGTTTTCCCTCGTACTTGAGCAGGCTCTGACGATGATGCATAATATGATATCATCGCAATGGCTTGATTTATATCTGCCTGCAAGTTACAAAATATTATTTACAAGTTACCACTAAATCAGTAAGAAGGTGAACAAGCTCCACTTACAAATTCAATAAAAGCTTGATTTCGATTTGCTCCGACATTGCACTTCGTGTTGACAACTTTACCAAACGGCTTCCCAAGTTCAACCAGCTCCTCTTCTATACACTCCCACGGCAAGTTTCTCAAATGAAGCACCTTCGACGGTGGCTGCGTGTACCGGAACTGCGGTTGAGTAGACACTGATGCCATTTCACAAACAATCTTAAACCTGTTGAATTGAATGGAGCCACAAAAAATCTATAACAATTCATATTTAAAAAAACGACGAAAAAACGGTATGATTTATGGTGATAACAGAGAATAACATCGGAAATTGAAATTTGCATCAAATTAAAGGAAGTGATTGAATAAAAAAGGAATTAACATCTATGAATTGATAAACGCATTGGATATGAATGAAACGGGGTGAAATAAACTCGTGGTGAAGTGGTATGATTGAATTTACCTGAGAGAGATACGGAGGGAAAGGGATTTTGAAGTTTGAGATATTCTGGAAATTAGGGTTCCAAACGGAGCTAAAGATAAAGATGAATCTTCATGCGTGTGATGTGGTTCATTCGTAGTACGAACCTTGTTTTTATTATAAAAAAGAAAATCGTTATTTATTTTCAAAAAATGTTTAATCTATTTAAAATTTATTTATTATTTGTTTATTTATTTCATATTATAGATGAGGAGAACATATTTACTACTAGTTTATATGTGTAATTATGTGAATATTTTTTATTTATAATATATTTCACAGCCGAAAAAAATTAGATATGATTAATGAAAAATTGTGATGTTCAGTACATTAATCAAAAGAAATTTGTATTAGATATTTTACTAATAATAATAAAATTGTAATGTTTATATGTATTTTTTAATATTCACACCTCAATATATCTTTGATGGTTTGGATGGTTCTTTCTTTATGAACATCTGATTAAGGATGATTCGAGGTACTAGGATTTAAATTTGTCTCCATTGTAAGATGGAAAACTCTCCAAAACCTCGAAGTAAACTTCGGGTCTCGGTCGGATAAAATATTAGATGAAACATCATGCAATTGAATAATCTCTGCTACGAACAATCTTGATAGGTGGATGACCTTACATGTAATATTTATGGGTAAGAAATAGGCTAATTTGATTTATCTATCCATAATCACCCAAATTGAATCATGACTGCTAAGAATACGAGGAAACTATAATGAAATCTATTGAAATGTTTTCCCACTTCCACTTGGGGATTTCCAATGGTTGTAACATACCATTTGGTCTCTGATGTTCAATATTTTACCTGTTGATAGACTAAACATCTGACTACATATTCCACAATATCTTTCTTCATACCTAGCCACCAAAAGCTCTTCTTCAAATATTGATACATTTTTAAAGAATCGGTGTGAATGGTAAAATCACTCTTATGGTCCTCCTCCAAGATTATCATTTTCAACTCTGAATAATTCGGAACACATATCGTGTAATTGCACATGAGAACTCCATCTACGTCTCGGGTGAAATCAGGATGGTCAACCCTAGATTGCAACTCAACATCTGACAACTAGCCTTTCATATCCTTTCCTTTAGGTCACATGTGATACTCAGGTTCTTGTTTAGAACTCATGTCTGAGTCCATGTAAATGATAGGTCAAGGTTCCGAAATCGTTCCAACAAATCATGTTTTAACATCACCAACTCAGATGTATGCATTTTTCCTACTCAATGCATCTGCCACTTCATTGGCTTCTCCCTGATGGTATTTTAGCTCAACATCATAATCCTTTAGATATTTTATCCTTCTTTACTAACGCATATTCAACTCTTATTTTATCAAATAGATACTTCAAACTCTTGTGATTGTCGAACATCTCAAAGTATACTCCATATAAGTAATTCGGCCACACCTTGAGTGTAAAGATAATAGCATCTAACTTAAGATCTTGCTTTGAATGATTTTCTTCATGAATCCTCAATTTTCGAGATGCATACGTCACAACTTGACCATTCTGTATTAGCACACATTCTAAGCATTTCTTTGAAGCATCACAAAACACTTCACAACTCTTACTAGGATAAGGAATCACCAAAATGGAAGTGATAATTAATTTGTGGGATATTGGATCGAACTCTAGTATGATCGAAGTACATGCTGTAGTCGAAGAAAGGGTCTAGCATGTATTTGTCGAAGATGCTTGTTAAATTAGGTTTTAGTGTTTAAACCCTAATTTGTTAAGTTAGCTTGTTTCTTAAGTTAGCTTGTATAATGGGCCTTGTGGAAAAAGCCCATTAGTTAGTATGTTAGGTTTTATTATAAATAGCATACTAGTCTCTCATCATTGCAACACAGCAAATCCTAATTTAGGGTGAGAGGGTTATTTGTTATTCTTGTAAACTTGTAATCTTGTTTTCTAAGAGAAAGTAAAGAATAGCAGTTATAACCAATTCTTGTGTTCTTCCTCTTCCTTGTTCATTATTTCTCCCTAATTCTATACTTTGTTATTGGCATTGAATTCACAACAAATTGGTGCGGTGAGCGTGGAGAAGATGCCTTCAACAAAATATGAGATTGAAAAGTTCACCGGAGTGAATGATTTCGGTCTATGGCGCTTGAAGATGAAAGCCCTACTGGTTCAGCAAGGTTGTTTGGAAGCGTTGAAGGGAGCGACGGCGATGGACGCTGCGTTAACAGAAAGAGAGAAGACGGCCATGATCGAGAAAGCACACAGCGCAATTTTGTTGAGCCTTGGTGATAAGGTTCTTCGACAGGTATCAAAGGAGACGACGGCATCAGGGTTATGGGTGAAACTTGAAAGTTTGTATATGACCAAATCTCTGGTAAATCGACTCTACCTGAAGCAAGCTTTGTATTCATTCAAGATGATTGAAGACAAAGTGTTGGCTGAGCAGTTGGATATGTTCAACAAGCTGATTCTTGATCTTGAAGATATTGATGTAAAGATTGATGATGAAGATCAAGCGCTGTTATTGTTGTGCGCTTTGCCCAGATCACATGCTCACTTCAAAGAAACCCTCTTGTATGGAAGAGAGTCCCTGACCTTTGAAGAAGTTCAATCAGCTTTGTACTCTAAGGACTTGAACGAACGTAAGGAGCATAAACCTTCGACGGTTGGTGAAGGTTTGGCTGTTAAAGGAAAATTCGACAAGAGGAAAGGTAAAAATCAGTCGAAGTCTCATAGTGGTGATGCATCTGGTATTAGATGCTATCACTGTAAGAAAGTAGGTCACACAAGAAAGGTGTGCCCTGAACGCCTGAAAGATCATGGAGGTAAGGATAATGGCAACGCAGCTATTGTCCAAGATGATTTCGAATCATCTGATGTTCTTGTGGTTTCAAGCAACAACTCGTCGAAGGAGTGGATTATGGACTCTGGATGCACTTGGCACATGACTCCAAACAAAGACTTGTTCGAGGAATTATGTGATCAAGATGGTGGATCTGTATTGCTGGGAAACAACAAAGCTTGCAAGATTGCAGGCGTTGGATCTGTGAGATTCAAGCTCCATGATGAGTCAATAAGATTGTTGACTGAAGTCAGGTATGTACCTGATTTGAAGAGAAATTTGATTTCTCTTGGTGAATTCGACAAGAAAGGATATGTGTTTCAAGGAGAGAAAAGTATCCTGAGAGTCATGAAAGGGTCGAAGGAAGTCTTGAGAGGCGTGAAGAAACAAGGCTTGTATACCCTTGAGGCTGAAGTTGTAAGTGGTTCGACAAATGTTGCATCCACGAAACCTTTGTCGAAGACAGAAATTTGGCACATGAGATTGGGCCATGTCAGTGAAAGGGGTCTGGTCGAATTAGGGAAACAAAATCTGCTTGGTGGAGATAAAGTCGAAAAGCTGAAGTTTTGTGAACCCTGTGTACTTGGAAAGTCCTGTAGAATGAAGTTCAACAAAGGCAAACAAAGAACACATGGATCCCTTGATTACATCCATGCTGATCTTTGGGGGCCTGCAAGGTGTCCATCACATTCAGGAGCAAAGTATTTTCTATCCATAGTAGATGACTATTCCAGAAAGTTATGGGTATTCATCCAGAAGACTAAGGATGAAACTTTTGAGAATTTCAAAAGTTGGAAGACTCTTGTCGAAAATCAAACTGGCAGAAAGGTAAAGAGGTTGAGAACCGACAATGGCCTTGAGTTTTGCAATGAGGCGTTCGACAGTTTCTGTGTTGCCTCTGGTATTGCAAGGCACAGAACTACCGCAGGTACTCCACAATAAAATGGTTTGGCTGAAAGGTTTAATCGAACTATTTTGGAGAGAGTTAGATGCATGTTGACTAGTGCGGGATTAAAGAAGGTGTTTTGGGCTGAGGCTGTTTCGACAGCAGCATATCTGATAAACAGATGTCCTTCGACAGCGTTAGATATGAAGACACCTGAAGAAGTTTGGTCGGGACATCCACCAGATCTCGACAAACTAAGAGTATTTGGCTGTGTAGCCTATGCTCACATTAGGCAAGACAAGGTCGAACCTAGAGCTCTGAAATGCATGTTTATGGGATACCCTGAAGGAGTGAAAGCTTATAGGCTATGGTGCCTAGAGCCAGGTCACAGGAGGTGTATCACCAGTCGAGATGTAGTTTTCAATGAAACTGAAATGGCTTTCAAGAAAACTGATGATGTTGACGAAGAGCTGGAACAGGTAAAGATTCCTGTTGAGGTGGAGCATGTTGATGCTGAAATGCGTATCCCAGATGAAGTCGAAGAAGAAACAGAAGATTCTGATGATGTTGAGGAAACTGTTGATGACTACCTATTGTCGAGAGATAGGCAAAGAAGAGTCATAAAACCACCTCAGAGACTTGGATATGCAGATCTTGTAGCTTATGCCTTAATCTCTGCAAGTGAAGTTCTAGACGAAGAACCTAGAGATTATAAGGAAGCTATAAGGAGTCGAATGAAGACTGAATGGCTAAAGGCCATGCATGATGAGATGAAATCTCTTCATGATAATCACACTTGGGAACTAATCGAGAAACCTGTTGGGGCAAGGTTAGTCAGCTGTAAGTGGATTTTCAAAGTTAAGGAAGGAATTGAAGGAGTAATGTCGAAGAGGTACAAGGCAAGATTAGTCGCAAGGGGTTTCACTCAGAAAGAAGGTGTCGACTTCAATGATGTATTTTCCCCTGTCGTGAAGCACAGATCCATTCGAATGTTGCTTGCCATGGTGGCTCAGTTC